TTACAATAATCTCGCGGATAGGTCTTTTTTCGAGTTTCTCTTTTATTTTCGCTAATTTTCCTGGTGTAGATACCAAGAACGGCACTTAACATCTGCATATGTGGCAGAACTAAAACTAGCTAATGTAATAAACGCCACAGAATGTCCTACTACTAACACAGAGGTAGATATAAATTGTAGAATTAAATAGAATATTATTAGATTTTATTCAAGTAAAAATTATTTAATTTTTTTATGAAATTCTACCAAAATGAGAGGGGCTAAAGCCCACGAAAAACTTAATACGACCCTGATTAAAAGGCCCTTACTTACGTTTCCAAGAGACAACAATTTCGAATTTTTTTCTTTTATCAACTAATCAAACAAAATCGAGATGTAGAGACCAGAACGGTTTCCGACACGACAGCAAGATGCACCCGGTGCATAGCGATCCGAATAATTGGCAACACCGCGAACGCCGTAGCCTACTGCTGCATTTCGCAGGCGGACCCCGCCGCGAGGAGAGACTCTTTACCGTTGCGTGTGCAAAGTGCAGCACGGATTTTCACCCGATAGACGAGATTTCCACATAGCAACAGATCCGGTCTTCGCAACGGGATTCCTCGGCTGCCGCAGCCAGACAAGGAAGCCTAGTCCTGACTATTGACCGATTGAAGAGCTTACGAAGACTCCAGAAACGCGTCGGTTGCGGTTTGAGTTTTGGAGTCGTATCTTTTGAAATAACTTGGCGCAATCATACTGCCTCGCGAAATATGTACGGTCTGGCGTTTTGTTTATCGAAAAAAATACGTTTATTTTTCAAAAAAAATTGGAGAAATGTTCTGAAAATTTAAATATTTCTTAAAATTGTTGTATAAAGAGTTCTTTGTCTATACAGGGTGTTATATTATTCCGTGTACATGGAGCTACTATAATTTCCTGCGATATAAGCAAATTTAACTAAAATCTCTAGACCACTGCTTAAGCCTTCAAAAATGGTAAAAAGTGAAAAAAAATTATAGTAGGATGAAACCCATTGGAAAATGAAGAGAATATAACAGAAATGAAAAGAAAAATAATTTACGGGCGATCTGAGGTCGGGAAGGGGAAGGGGGTGAGTTTTTAAGGGTAAAAAACGGTTTATCTTGATTTCCGGAAAAACTACAAGTCTTATGGAAAAAAGTTAAATGGCAAAGTTGTAGGTAATAAAAAGATCTACAACTTTTGTATTTACACTTTTTTCACATAACCTCAAAATTTATGTGAAAAATTCAAATAACCAAGTTTTTGGTTTTTTATTTTTATCTTTTACAAACAA